TTAGCCATTTTTCTTTTGTAAATTTCAATGATTTTTGTATCCCTTGTTTATGTATGTGTACAAAGAACTTGTACTGCGTTGAAAATGTATTTTGTTACTGATATATCATTTCCCGAATCTTAGGGTTTCTATAATCTTACATCACGGAGGCCGCAACATCTCTTGCAACTTTTGGAGCTAGGTTACAATGTTATGTACAATGATATCGATATGGTTTGGTTACAAGATCCATTTCAGTATTTAGAGGGAAGCCACGACGTGTACTTCACGGATGACAACACTCAAGTATGTGAAAGTTCACACATCCAAACTCTTTTTGTTTTTTCATTTTAGAGTGTTTTATTATCATATTCTCGGGGTTTGATTTTGGTGTTAGATTAAGCCTTTGGATCACACTCATGATTTTTCGATCCCGGATCGAAACGGATGGACTTATATATGTAGCTGCATGCTTTTCTTGCGTCCCACGAATGCCACAAAGCTTCTAATGAAGAAATGGATTGAGGAAATTCAAGCCCATCCTTGGTTCAATGGGAAAAAAGGAAATGATCAACCTGCTCTTAACCGGGCACTTCACAAAACACCTGATCAGGTTTGTTACTTCAATCCAAGTTTTATAGTCACCGTACTGTTGAAGTTTAAAATCTCAAAAGATTGAACCTTTTGGGACTCTGAGGTTCTTCTTTATCAAAACTCATAAACTCCTCTAATCTACTTATGAATGTTCGATTTACAGTTTTTGTTTGAATCCCAAAAGTAACTTTCTTCACTTGTATCAACTCTTTTGTGATTTCTTGTTCTTCAGGTGGATCTCTACTTGCTTCCTCAAGCAGCATTTCCAGCAGGAGGATTGTACTTCAAGAACGAGACATGGGCTAAAGAGACAAAGGGGAAACATGTCATAATCCACAACAACTACATCATCGGTTACGCCAACAAGATGAAACGTTTCCATGACTTTGGTCTATGGCTAGTCGATGATCATGCTCTTGAGTCACCTTTAGGAAAATTAGAGTAAATTATAATGGTTTGTTATGTGTGAATGTTATATGGCAAGAAACAGAGGAAAACAGAGGTGCTTAAAAACAGAGGGACTTGATGTTTTTATTAAAGAACAGAGTTTCGATGTCTGAGAACCAGGATAGATGTTTCTGCAGAATTCATGTACAGTTTAAAAACACATCTTGATCGATTCAACAGGAAAACTAAACACAAGACTACATTCATTATTATTAGCAGAAAATTCGATCTCTAGACCGAAATGATAACGCCATTCTCGAGTTCTGTTTGCTCCTAAGAGGATGAAAGCATATCACCAGTCATCTTCTCTGCCTTTTCTCCGCGCTCACCTGAAATGTTTTATCGACATATTAAGGCAAGCCAAAGATGGTGTCTTTCTTATGTAAAAGGAAAAGTTTCTGAAGTTTTTTTACCTGTCCGAACCCTTATGACATCTGACACAGGCAAAACTGTATATAACCAAACAAAGAAACAATCACAATCTGAGTCATTTCTTTCTGCATCTTAATGTATGAACATGATCTGATTTCGAAATTACCGAAAATTTTCCCATCACCAATCTCTCCAGTCCTTGCTCCATCAATTATGGTGTTGATTACAGATTCCACCTGAAAGAAGAAGAAAAAGCAATGGTTCGAACTCAACTTTCGCTTACAAAAGTTTCGGTTTTATAAAACCATATACGTACTTGGTCTTTCGTGACAACGATTTCCATTTTAACTTTAGCAACAAACTTGTCTTCCGAGAACTCAGAGCCTGCAAATGCAACAATGTCAATTGTCTATAGAAAAGCCACGAACACATTTTGACAATAAGGAGAATCACTGAACTTAATTCTTGAATTCGAGGACTTACCACCATGTCTCTCAGTAGAACCACCTTGTGCACCAAACCCTCGAACATCAGAAACCGTAACACCTCGTATCCCGATTTTCAATAAAGCCTTGATTTTTTGTTAAATGAAACAGAGAAAAGTCAAGGTTCAGTAGAATTTCTCACAAGTGGATGCTACTCATCTGCATGTTAAAGGAAGTAACAGGCATCTACACTTCAAACAACACAGAAAAAAAGTTTTGACTAGTCCAATCGAGCTAAAGTAACATAATTTGATCTCTGCATCCATCGATAAGAACTTCTACTCTCACTCAATCCCCAAACACCAAGACACTTCAATCTCATACCAACGTTGGACACTTATTGAGATCACACTCTTCTCTGATAAACACTAACAAATGAAAAACCTCACGTGATTAGCAAAGTTCAAATCTTTTCACATAATCAAAGTTGAGAACTTACCGAGGAAACATGCTGGATTCTCCATGGCCTTTTCACATTCATACATGACAATGAAGACATAAGTTAGTTAGATCCCAACTTATAAAAAACAAGCAACATTGACATAAATTCTAAGCTTCCTTCTCAGATATACCACAAGATTTAAAAGCTTACCTGATAATTGCTTCCACCTTGTAAAATTTTGAGTCTGGAATATAATCTACAAGAAAATGCAAATGAACCATCCACAATAAAACTCAATTGATCCAACAAAAACCCATCATTTGTTTTTGGCTTACCAGAAGAGCTTTGTGCTCTAACGAGAGGGAAAAAACGAGTTTTGTTATTACTCGGTGATTTCGTGACCAAATCGAGAGAAGACGGTCGGAATCCAGAAGAAATCGAAATGCAATCAGAGAAAGACATGTTTTTTCGATCATAATTGAAACGGAGACAAGTTAACGAGATTGGTTTCGTCATTGTCGTCGCCATTGATTGTTCTTGAGATTTAAAAAAAAAAGTTACAGACTTTTGAGAGTTTTTCTTCTTCCTTTACCAAACTGATTTTTCCACCATCGAAATTGAAATAAGGAAGCGGAGGAATAATAATGGAACTTCGAAGTTGACGACGAGTCGGTTTATCTTATACCGGTTTGGTTATAGAAATTACTCCCGGTTTAAAACCGGTTTAGTGCTCGAATCTCTCTCTCTTGTTTCCATCGAATTAGCGTCTCCAAAGGAAGCTTCGAGATTTCGATTTCTTCAGGGGAAGTGGAAAAAAAATGGCTAAGGAAGAAGAATTCATATACAGAATCAGTACGGATCAAGAATGGGTAGAGTTTCAGAAGAAAGGATCTTCTTTTGGTGGAGAGCTTGACAAGTCAACTGGTTTTTACCATCTAAGCAAACTCGATCAGGTCTATGAATTTCTCAGAAAGATCTTTACTTTTCACTGAATCTCGAATTTTTGGTCTATTGTTTAACCAATTTTGCTTTGAGCTTCTGAAAAATCATGATTTTTATGCAATTTGATGTATAATTTGGTTCTTTGATTTTTGTTAGGTGCAATTTACATTGCAGAACTTTTTCATGAATGCTAAGGAGGATCTTTACCTTGTTCAAATTGACCCTAAGAAGGTTTGTGTTTGTTATTTGATGTTTGACTCTTTGAAACATATGTAAATTAGATATGATCATTTGGTTTAGCTTTGTGAGTGATTGATCTAGTAAATGTTAGTTCCCATGTTGAGGTAGATGAGCAACTAGCAAAATGAGGTATTGAATTGAAAGCAAGAAACTCCCTAAGCTCGCTTTGTCATCGTGTGAGTGTACTCGATGATGTTTATTAATGTGTCTTCTTCCGCATTCATGCGTGGTTCGTGCTAGAGTCATTGCGGTTTTGTAGACTTGGAAACGATACACAAAATCTTTTGCAGTATCTAAGTAGCAGAACCATGATCTTTAGGATGGAGATTGATGTCACTTGAATCCCGAAGCAAAAATTATACTTCGACGATGCTTTGGATTCGTAAATACATTTTACAGCTTAGAAGACAATGAGCCTCATTTGAATCCCATAGCAAAAATTTATGCTTTGATTATGTTTTGGATTCACAAATATGAATACATTTTACAGTTGAACAATACAATGAGCTAATTAGTCCTCAAAGACCGTGGAAATCGACATTAAAGCGAAAGAGATTTGACATGTTTTCTTATTGTTTCATGTACTTTTTGGAAGCTTGGAGATGGATTGATCTATGAAGCTGTAGATGAAGTGAATAGCTTTCCTCACTTCTATGGTCCAGACAAAACATTCCTACCACTTCCTCTAGATTCTGTCGTTAAAGCCGAGAAGCTAACATTCATCAATGGCAATTTCACCTGCAGTTTCTTAACTTGATGATCTGATCCGATCCGATCCCTCACTGTTTATGTATTGCATTGTAACATTCGGTAGTAATGTAACGAACAAGTTTATTATTTTCATTTCTATTCAAGAAACAGAACACAAAAACAGAGTTTTTTTTTTTTATTATTACAATGCAAGATTGAGATCTAAACCAGTCTCTTG